AGTTGGCACAGATGTGAGCATAAGTTTGTAAGGCCTCATCCTTTACCACTTAGCAATTAGGTTTTTACCATACTTACTATCACGTGACATCACAGGTATCAATACCAAATGGAGCATAGGCCGTGTGGGATAAACGGCGAATGTATCTTTCGTGTAGCGAAGTATGGGAATTTCTACGGGATGTGGACGTGCTTGCATGCATACCACGTTTGCAATTCAGTATACACGGACTAACCATCCAGTCCTCCATTTTATTCGTGGGCTTGTGAGTCACCTTTTCTATAATAAGGGGCCTAACCTTAGAAGGGCTCCAAACGGAGTTACGTATAGGTTTTACATAGTTATTACTCAATATATGTAAGGTACTTTTCGAATCTTATTAGAACTTTGTTTCAAAAAGTACATGGAAGGCATCTTTTTCAAAATTATTGCTTTACGAAAAATGAGTTTGTATAGATTGGCTTTTCAATGTTTAATTTGTATCGTGAACATTAAAATTCATTAAAACATTACTGATTTCGTTGAATATATATGTCATGAATTTGTTGGAGTGGTTTTTAACGTATATTCTTCATAGATTGATCTCCAGATGAGGTACTCATTGGGAAACCACAAAGGTATCCGATAGAGGTATATATTTTCTCTGTAGTAGTCACTGCCTATGACTCAGTTTAGAATTTGTTATGCATACACGTAAACACGTCATTTGATATGCTTGAACTATTACGAGTTCACTTTAGTCGGAAAATGAGAGTGAGGATCGATGATCCGGTGACACGACAGGCTACTCTAATCCGAGTGTCCAAACCCTTTCGCATTGGGGGAATGAAGTAGAACGTGTATTTTACACGCATCCAGAAAGTACGAGGTCCAAGTACAGAAGAGGATGAGTATCCCGGACTAGGGATTCGGGTCCGGCGTATTTATACAGTTAGGTCGAATAGGGAACAACACTGAAGTCTGTGACATTGACAGTGAGGACAACCAATAGGAATTGACCAATAGAATTAAACTCACAAACAACTACTATCTTAGGATATTGGATGAATATCCTAACAGAATTAAACCTAGGATCTTCAGGTCTTATGTGTTGAGAAGATATTCTTGATGGATTATTGTAAGACAGAAAACATTTCTTAGGCAAGAAACATCCAAAAAGTTGTCTAGTCTCACGTGTATGAACTTCTCATCAACAATATTTAGAACTTATGGGATCATTTAAGTTAAAATCTGAACAGTAATCTGTCAAATAGATCAAATCAATGTTGTATCAAAGTATAAAAATTGATCGATATTTTTTCAATCAAACTACTCGATAAATTTCATCAGAATGCTCTACAGTTAAGTTTGAGCAGTTTTATAGATTGGTTAACATTATTTTGAAATCATGAATCGATCAATGTTAGACCACAAACAGTGGACGACAGCCGTTCCGTCCTGGCATGGGATTCATCAGTGGCAGTGTGCATCCATGACTCCGGCTACTCACAAGATTTGAACTCAGGACCTTCGGTTTTGCGCGCGGACGCTTAACGCCAGGACTATTAAACTGACGTCCAACAATGTTATCAAAATATTTACACAATATATCAGTCAGTGAATTACATTGTATAACTTTGTACGTACGTGTTTCAGTTCAGATTTTCATACCACAACAGCACAGAGACGCAACTGTCAGTTCAAATCCCATAGTGGTAGAGATAACAGAAGTATTACTGGTAATGGAGAATATTGGGGATCGAAGATATGATTCAACAAGTATAATTCAGTGAGATAACTTTAGAAAGAGAAAGATAAAGATGATGAGGATTTCTGAAGACTAGAATTTTGGAGAACACAAAGAGTGGATGCACCTGCGCCATTCCAAACGATTTTGAACCATGTCTATCAAGGTCTCTAACCATCGACTACTTTCATCTCGCAAACCCCAATCAAACAGTCTACACCTACTAACATGACTCAACCTACTTATTAGAGGTTTCGTGGATTTGTGCCATGTTTTGGTCTGGCCGCCCCTAACTTTTTTCCAACCTACTCCCACTCCACAAAACATAGCTCGTCGAGGCAGTTGGTGGTTGGGCGTTCGTAACACATGTCCCGACCACCTTAACTGATAAAATTTGACTACTTCATCTATTGATCTGCCATCCCTGACTAGCACTCATTTCCTAACACAATATATATATATATATATATATATATATATATATATATATATCATTATGTAGTTATTAAGATTAAATCGCGTAATTATATAGTAATTTAAGATTAATGTTCTTCATTCAGATAATCGATAAATTGATAATATGAAATAATTATCAAATGATTAGTTTAATTATTTTATTCTAGTATTTATAAATAATTTCATTATTGAGTTGTGAATAGACCACCGTTAGAACCACAGAAGCACTGAACTGTCTGTTCGTCTTAGTATCAGACCCATCAGGAGTGTGCATCTACAACCTCCGCGCAAGGGAGTCAAACCTAGAACTATGGTTAGAAAGCTAGAAACGTTGGACAGCCGTTTCGTCTTAGTATCGGACTCATCAAATGTACGCATCTTGGGCTCCTGCGACTCAAACGATTCGAACCCAGAACGTTCGGTCTCTACGCGAATGCTTAAACTCGGGATGACTAAGGTGGCACCAAATGGTGTTACTGTTTGACTTCGATCAATTCAAGATATTGCACAACTTTAACCATTGTGTTCAGTGTGTTATCCTCTCACATCTTACATGGTTGAACCCCGAGAATCTCATCATTAAAGCTAGACATTAACACTACTAAATGCTTAGAGGTAAGGCGTTTGTGCGCTAGACGGAAGGCATAGGATTCGATTCCTGTATGCGGAGTCGTAGATGCGCACTTCTGGTGAGTCCCATACTAGGGCCAACTTTTTAATGATGACCTAACGCAATATATGTATATACATATCATTATGTAGTTATTAAGATTAAATTGCGTAATTATATGATAACTTAAAATTAATGTTTTTCATTCAAATAATCAATAAATTGATAATATGACGTAATTATTGAATGATTAGTTATGTTCATTCGAGTTAGTCTTTGTAAATAATTAACGTTTTTCATTATCGCCGAAATGTGAAGATTTGAATTTTGTTGGCATTATGAATCGACCAGTGTTAGATAGACTATCATTAGAAAGCGAGAAGTATTGAAGGGCTGTTTCACCTTAGTATTGATAGGCAGTACATATGTGAGACTCTATACCGAAGATCCAACACAAGACTTTCAGTCTTACACGCGAATGTCTAAACTGTGGATCACTGAGGCGGCATCCTGTTACGCGTGCGCGTCAACACGTCAATTGATATGCTTGAAATATTACAAGTTAACCTTAGTCGGTGAACGAGAGCGAGGATCGATAATCCGGCGACACGACAGGCTACTCTAATCCGAACGTCTCAAACCCCAATTGAATAGATGAAGAAGACTTGATATGAAGTAGAACATGTATTCTACAAGCATCCAGAAAGTACGAGGTTCAAGTCCATAAGAGAATTAGGATTCCGGACTAAGGATCCGGGTCATAAAACGTTACAGACGATGCATATTTTTTATGTTAGGTTGAATAGGAGACAACATTGAAGTCTGTGACATTGATAGTTAGGACGACTAATAAGGATTGACCAATAGAATTAGACTCCCTTATAATTCTGTTAGGTTATTGGATGAATATCTTCATACATCCAACGGTGTTGACGTTTAAGTTTATTCAAACCAAGGTAATGCACAACCTCATTTATTGTCTTCGGTGTGAAAGTGCCTCACATGTGATACCATCACAACCTGTCACTAGAACTCCAAGAATTTCTTCATGAATCTAGTCACTAGTGGAAATTGTTGATGCGATCGTACACTATTATGAAGTGATTGAAGCTAGACAATAACACCTGGAGATCAGACGTTAGTGAGTGAAATTCGACAGCCTGGCTGTTGTTTCCTTTATGTGGTGATGTGGATGTGTAGTGTGCCGATTTCGAGGGCGTGTTCTTAAGTTTCGTAATAAGCTCGTTCAGACTATAGTTACTGAATGACCTCTGACGGTTAACAAATCAAAAGATGAATTCGAAGTATCGTATACGTTTATTGTGGCACACCACAAATAAGAATAGCAGACTACAGATAGACCGGGCAGACACACTAGCGAGCGAATATACAAATGGGGCGAATGAATTAATAAGATTAACATGTTCGTATATATACAAAGGAAAGTGTCTGAGTCATCGTGGTATTTAAGAGATTAATATTAAAGCGAATAAGATGCATATGCGCGTAGGCGTTAAGCGATGCTCAGTCATACCAGCTCATACAAACCAGATAATAAAAAATACCAATGGTACATACAAGTTGTTGCTAAGCGAATGGCTTGGTTAAAGAAATTAATCAAAAAGGGCTTAAGTAAATTAAATGTAAGCGGATGCAAATAAATGTGGAGGCAATACAGATGTACACTGTTGATGAATCCCATACTAGGATCAAATAACCATCCAATACTTCCAACTAACTAAGATCAATTCATGTTTCTCAACTACAAAACACATATTGTAGTGTAGGAGAACACAGGTGAGGGCAACCGAATTGTATTTAACCGCAAATTACAGAGTTACTCAGTAAAATAGGAAAACCATATCGTAAACGGTTAATTTGCAAATCTTCAATCCAATCCATCATCAATCCATTGTCTGACATTTCACTTATTCATGCGTTTCATACAAATCCCATTTTTGTGTTCCCACTCTTGCTTTCTTGATCTTCCCCCATCCTCTTCTGCTGCCAGACATTACGTTTACGCTCACGTCATATACTACTTATAAGTAACTACAATATAACACACTTTCATCAAAATCCGTATAATGGGAAAAATTCCATTTTTTTGACATTCAAACTCATTGAAACTCATGCATTCATTACTTACTTACTCAATACTATATATATTTTTTCTAATCATCAAAAGGTATCAAATATCTAGAAGATATGGTACGTCTTATGAATATCACTAAACGTGGTAATCAGGCGTTCGACACAGCATTGCAAGCAGCTAAAGATGTCATCAATACAGTGGAAACAAACATGAATGCACAAAAAGACGAGCGACAACAACAACAACAAGACGAAAATCAAACAGAAAATGATCAGAATAATTTGAATTTTCCCTCGCTCGATTTAGATTTAAACAAAACTACTACTAATAACACTAATAGTAGTAGTAATCATCCATTGTCTCGAGCTGGTTCATATCGTTTAAAACGTCAAGCTAAAAAAAAACAACATCATACAACGAAACATAAACAGATCAATGATCAATTACAGACGATGGAAATGCAAGATATTGATCTAACTGTAAGTTGTGCTTTTTGTTTTAAAAACTGATTGGCTAATAATGGCTTTGTTCAATATTCGATTCTCAGTACAGAATAGTTTATACTGTGCGTGCACTTTTAAAGTCGAGCCTACAGGGCTTGTGTCCCAAACTTTTGGACAACTTCACTAATCCATTCTTCCCGAAATATTATTCGCTTGTCTTGTGACCTTGTCCATCATTTGCCGATATCTTGGTTGATTTTTTAATTGAACGTTTTGGGGATTAGTGTTTTTACACATTTGAAATCATCAATCAATCAATCATTGTTAGAGCACCATTAGAAAGCTGGAAGCACTGGACGGCCGTTTCGCCTCGGGATCGGGTTCATCAACAGTGCGCATTCACAACTCCTGCGCCCCGCAGGATTAGAACCCGGGATCTTCGGTCGTGTGCGCGAACGCCTAACATCTGGACCACTGAGCCGGTATCCGACGGTATTAATGTCTAACTCTGATTGATCTAGGGATTTTGCGTGACCTCACCCATTTACCTTTGGTAGTTACTGTCTACACCTGACAGAGCTGAACTCAACTGGTCACATCTTTGTTGTATATGTATGCACCGCTTGCTTCGCTGATTACGTGTCTAGGTTATTTTGTCTGACCATAAATACTGAG